CCACAATGTAGTAATTGAGGACCTAAAGCTACCTCTAAAATATAGGCTTTGAGGACCTTAGAGCATCTACAGAATATATCTTGCACTCCCCTCGTACGTTCATGAAGTATGGGAGTAGATGAAGTGTCGCTTTTCTTCCTTGCACGCTATACCATTCTACTCCAGTGATACTCCACTCTACTCCATCAGTACTCCAAGCGTACTCCACTCTACTCCAAGCGTACTCCACTCTACTCCCGTGATACTCCACTCTACTCCAAGCGTACTCCACTCTACTCCAAGCGTACTCTGCTGTACTCCAAAATTTACTTTGGAGTAGATGGAGTATCGCCTTTTCCCCCTTGATCCGATGGTTCTGTTGCAATATCGAATCTTGTTCAAGGTATTGTGTTACGTGTATTAAATGAACATCGTGGTAATGCACCAAATTGTATAATTGATTTAAAACAATTATTAGAAAAATAATTTTTATATGTGATTAATAACAACTTATGATCGACGTGTTAGTTTATGGAAATCAAATCAACAATTTGATATATGTCAATTAATTGATTGGTTAACATTTTCAGTATCATCATTTGCACCAGATGGAATAACTATACATAATAATAATAATAATAATTGGCAATCATATCCACCAAATTTAGCTTGTTTTATTGATCATAATTTATTAATGTATATTGGTTATGGAATAGAAAAATCTATACAAATAAATAATCTTGATACAAAACAAATTATTCGTACCATATCATTAAGTCAATGGTGTTCATGTTTTGATATATCAAATATTAACAATGATGAAAATGAAAATCGTTTGATAGTAATTAGTAAAAAAAGATCGTTTAGTACAATTAAAAGATTACACTCAGAAAATATTTCAGGATTTTATTGATAAAATTTCTTTGGAATGTACTCTTAAATTGGATGATTTGTTTTTTCTATATATTAATGTAAATGATAGTTGTCATTTATTTGTATGGAATTAATTTGAAAATTAAAAAAAAAATTAAAACTTTAACTTTTTATTATATCTTTAATTTCGAATGAGAAAATTAATTGTTAGACTAAACATTGCAAAATATTATGATTATTGGAATGCCGTTAAAGATATTATTTTTCTATAAGGACAGGTAACATTCATTGAGACTTGACTCATTTGACTCTAGGCTGATAAGATAGAGATATACATACAGGCGTACCTAGATATTAATGTGCTCTAAGTAAAGTATCAAAATGATTTGGCATATAACAATGACTTGATTCACAAAACCAGCTTTTCCGTAATATAAAACATGATTTTTATATTTAGAAAGTAAAACTAATTTTCAATATGCTATACCTGTCTAATTGAGTTCAGGTTATACGAATAGTGTTATTGCTTGTCCTACAGAAATTTTGTCAAGTTTTTCAATCGTTGCACTGTTCTAACTATATTCACTGTCGTTTTTTTCATAGTTTTCTTAAAAACTTTATTTTCAATTTTAAATGATAATTGAGTACTTTGTATGAAAAATTCTTTTTATAACATATATTCATATATGGCGAATTCTGAAATTGTCTTTATGATGTGCGGTCAAAAATAGTATTATATTGATTTTAGAGCTTTTATGCTCAAATTTTCAATATTTTCAATAAAAACTTTGAGAGTCAGAATTTTTCATCACTCGTATTATTCTGTGTCTTCTTCATGTTCAAAATAAAACTTATGTTATATACGTATGTATCAGAGATGTCTGTGGTGGCGCAGGAAATGTTTCAAAATTACTATCGCGGCAGTACCATTTTCATTTTCAGGAAAATTGTAAAGTTACATAGATTTATATCCGATTTGAGTATCTACAAATCCCAACGGTCAGAATCATGGTGAATCAGATGAATTCAATCTAACTATGCTAATTTGGCACAGTGACGATAGAGATTTTTAAAGAATTTCCTCTAGAACCTTTGCGGCAGCGGCAGATTTCCAGCAGTGATGGAAATATCTGGTGTATATATGTTGAATTATAAACATAAAATAGAAGAGGTGTGGATGGGCGTGAGACAATAAAAGATTCACGCCAACGTTCAGACCCCACGCTCACATCCACAATATTAACTATTGTATAGGGTGCGGGTGTGGGTATGAAGGTATAGGTATGGATCTGGACGTTAGTTTGGATATGGGTGCTAGTGTGTATGGGTATTGGCATGAGTATATCTCCAGAATCCTCTCTCACACCCATACCAACTCCTCGTCCGCGTCTACACTCACGCACACACATATACCCATATCCACACTCAAGGGAAAATTAGACTTGTGAGAATATTGTTTCTCGTAATTCAATCGCAGATTCCATCGTGTGGTAGTGCGGAAGTTTGTCCTCGTAAACAAAAGAACTGATAAGCACGACAAGATCGTTCGCATATAGAACAAAAATTTCTTCATCTTTTCATGTACAATGCTTTACTTTTAGCATCCGTCTTGCTAAACACATATTCACATAAACCGTTTTGCATATGTGGAAAAACATGAAATCTGACTTATGCAACTTAGCAGGTGTTAATCTTGTGAGTTTGATGTTGATTTGAGAAATCTATTCGAGAAGCAAAGCCGACTGTTTTCTAGAGAATCTAATTCTCTATCGGATGATTCTCTGTATCAACTGAATTTTTTTGTACAAATATTAATTTTTTTCTCTTGTCTGTAATCAAGCTTCTCGTGATCTTTACCTTGACTGTTTTACTGTTGCTATGTGCAGTCCTTTCCAATAGTTACACAATCTCATACCGTCTCATGAAATAGAAACACCGTTTCGTGATTCTGCTTTATTTGTTTAGCAACCTTTTTAAGTGTAAGCACACTGCTGGAAGAAAACGAATCTTCGTGATTAAGAAAATTTTTCTCGGCGTTTACGTTCGTTGCTTTATTGGCAAAAGTAATGTTTCAATTTATTCATCATTTTGTTAGTATAATGACATCACTGCATGTGAAAGATTGTTTGAAGTGTGTGGGATTGTTTATATTATTGACAAAAATTTCACCATCAATCAAATTTATATAAGTGGCCTTGTTTCTCATTGCAGCTCAATGCTAATTATATCGAAGAATTTTTACTTAAGCTTCATAACAGAATTATCTTCTCTGGTAAAATAAACGAACAAAGTACGTATGACCAAAACTGTTTATAGCACAATAGAAGAGATCAGTGTATGGTCTCGACGAGATACTGAATTTCAGGTCGGCATCTCATACCTAAGTAATTAACTATTATTTGCTCTGAAATAGTAATATTCACCATATTAGCTGCCTTTGACTGTAAAATCTAATTCAATGAACTGTATAGTTATCTATAAACGATGGTGATGGAAAGTTGTCACTTCTTTTTTGTGTGAAAAGTTGGTGTGACTGTGGTTGTGGTCTAGCCTGTGGATGCGTGAGAGTGTTAATCATCTCTCGATCAACATCCACACTGATGCTCACACTCACACCCACACCCTACATAAGCTCGTTGATTTATTTCATCAATTGCAAATATTGGTAGATCATTGTCAGGAGAAAATACAATCTGAAGTGGAAAATATGGTTGCGCACATTCTCCCATATAATAACATGTAAAAAAAGATACGAAGTACCACAAGATTTTCATCATCTAAAACAGAGACTGGACGCAATGGAACACTTTGTTTTGTTATCAAATAGTCTTATCAGTAAAAAACAGAAAGTACTTGACACTTTCACGCTTATTTTAAAAAAACTGCAAATTTTTCTCGAAAAAAAACGAAGGATGCCATTCTGTGGTCGGTGATGTAACGCGTAAAATGAGCCTTTTAATGGGAGATCTATCAAAGAATGAAAGATTATTGTGGCTATCATAAGGAAGTACTTAGGAGTACGTGCGCCTGATTTCTGATCTAACAATTGTAAAGAATACAAAAATTTGATATTGAAAGTTAAATGCTAAGACATATTGTTTTATTTCTTCATCTGAATATCGAATTAATAAAATATTTGTTTTCAATCAATATCAACCTGTATTTACCGATTCGAAAGTGATACTGGTCTATATATTTTTTTTCGATTTCTGCTGATACGCAAAAAATAAATCTTCATACAGTCATCAGTTGATACAAAAAAATAGCACTTGTAATAGTTTTTGTTTTTATACTATCTGAAGGGTTTTTAATAGATATATTTCAATATTATTATCAAAAAAACATTAGAAAAAAAGAATCAATTTACAAAAAAATGAATTACTAATACTAGAGTATAAACATAGACTTTTTTGTTAAGAAAGAAAAATTCGTACACTTGTTCTTCATTCAAATCATTTTGTCGATCAATTTGTTTTCGATCAGTTTTTAATGGAAAGAAAACCACTTCATTTCGTAATGCATCTTCAATCATTTTGATCTTCTTTCTTAACATTTCACCAGCAATTATTTCTACAAAAAATATACAAAATCAACTCATAACAGAAAATTATTTTATTAAATTTATTAAATTTTGATCAATTTTTATGTTAAATATATTTCTCACAAAATCATTCGATTTTAAATTTACGTGACAAAACATAAATCATTAAAATACATGTGATCTTTTAAAACAGTTTTTCCACCCTCAGTTCTTCGCCTTAAATATTATTTCAATATAGTGGGATAGATTATGGTTTTGCATAATCAATGCTGTCATCAAAGAGCAAAAAATATCAGAGCTTGTCAAGCAGTTTAACTCCTCTTCTCTACAATATGGTCATCGGAGTAACTAGGCTATTCTATACAAGAAGCAGAACACCCACTAGATATACCTACACCATTGACATATTAGAAAGGCTAATACTCTATTTGCATGGTTATTTTATCACTGGCTCTTCTGAAACCGCTGTGGAGGGTAGAGAGTTAATTTTCGATTCAAATCTGTTGATCATCCATCAAAATTCAACGGTATACTTTTCATTTTTTATCTCGTCCAATCCAATTTGATACTTATCAGAAGTTGTCTTACGACACGCTAATAAGACAGAAGCAGACTCTATTTGGGAAAGAAACTGAGGAAAATCAATAATCAATGTTGGTATTAGTGGGATACGTCAAAACCAACAATGTCGACCTTATTTACGCGCTGTAAGTTACGCTATGATTATCTAAAAGTAATTATTTAATAGACTAGAATAAAATATCAAATACAAAATAAAAAATTTTTTAAATTAAAAAGTTTAAAGTCTTAGAAGTCATTGTAATGGTTTTTGACGTCGAATTTCATCAATGATATCAAGAAAAAGACTTTCATCATGAATTCCTTTCCACCAATATTCAGCTAAATGACCGGGTAATAAATTATCTTTAGTTCCTCTCATTGATTTAATCAACTTTGTCTTCATCCAACCCCAGTTTGCTTCAATTCTTTGGGTATTCGTTCCATCAATGGGATTTACAAAATTTTGCGAGTGATTAACTAATTTGTGCGTAAAATTGAAGCCACGCTATCTTGAGATATTATTATACGCTTTCCATTCGTCTCACATAATTATAGATCCAGGAGCAACATTTTGCTGAATAATTGGTCTCAAGGTGGCTTCATTTCGTCTTAAGACATGAAACATCCTTAAATCTTTCTTTCCATCTGGACAAATCCAAACAAGTCCAAAAATCCAAGGGCCCACAACAGCATTTCGATAATTTTGTCTTGATGGTGGAACCGTATTCCCTAAAAGCAACCTTCCTCGATTATATTTCCTTCTTTCTTTCGTTAGGCTTTCGTCTATTTGAACTATTTCATTTGAACCACCCATTTTCGGCAAATCTGAATCTGTCAAAGCGTTCAGACAAATTTCTCTATAGTAATTTCTCCAATCAACGAACACTTCATTATATTTTCCAATCAAATTACCCATTAGATCTTTTGTTTTTTTCATTGAGAGATCCTTTGCCCAGCAAAACACTATCAAAAGTGCTATTCTTATTTCAATTTTGGTTTGTGGATATCCGCGTTGATCTGGTTGAGAGAAAAACGTGGCTCCTTTTTGTTGTTGTCCTCCGATTTCACCATCATCTTGTATTGAATTCTTCGTTGTCCTCTTCCTTTTGCATCTATTACAACGAATAATTGAATATTCTTTGTTTCTTCTCCCATCATTATAAGTAGTGGTGTAACATTCACCTGGACAGTTAGTTGTTCCAAGTCTACATTTACCTAAACGAAAGAAATAAATTATCAAAGTCAGATTCGTTATATTTGATAAGTTTAATTTACCAAGTGGTTGTTGTGCGCTTTGTATTGATTGATCATTCAAAAGCAAACCATGATTCTGTGCAAACTGAGTTGCCGAAGCTTCACTTGAACAAATTAAACTGATTTCCAAAATATTCGG